GAAGTCTTTAACAAGATGTTGGTTAGATATAGGTGAGTTAAATGCAGGGGCGGGCGGATAGGCCCACTTCATCATTGGAGTGAATTGGTTCGCTCCCAACTGATGGTTGGAGCTACCAGTTTGCCCAAATCGGCAGAATCCCACCCCTGATTTACTGCCACATTCGCACTAAATGTCCTGTGAGAGAAGCCCCATTTTTCCATGTGATCCTTAGTTCTAGCCAATCCAGTGTTCAATCTATTTAAACTTCTCCAAACCATCCATTCCTCTTCCAAACCTCCAGGCAACTCCTTAAGTGGTTCTATCCAATCATGAAGATTTTTTTAAACTTGAAGTTTCCATCTTTTTAATCGTTCTTTTTGAGGTGTACGAACAATCTCCTTGGGGCAATCTAAAGAGCTCCTTCTCAAGTCAATTTCTTTTTGTTGGGAAGACTTGGCCAACTAATGGCCAACATGTAACTCAGGGATGTCAAACTCACATCCTCATGGTGGCGTCACGTGACGTATTGGGCCTTTCCTCCCCTTCGCTAAACCAGGGGGTGGAGCCAGCATGTAACGCATACAGCCTGCGGGTTTGACACCCCTGATGTAACTCCTTTTCATATTCCATATCTTGTGCTCATGTAAGAACTTTACTTACAGTATAAGGATACAAAATTAGTTAAATTCCTAAGAAAATTTATTTACGTTTATTTCTGTTATGCTCCTTATTTTGAGATGATTTATCCTTGGGTTTTTTTAAAAAAAATGTTTTTTATTTATTTAAGAAAATGTACACAGCTCACTCTCAGTGACTTACAAAAGCTTTTTCTTTACTAGTTTGTAAAATAAATGATTGTTTAGCTGTGTAGCCGTAGATCCTGAAACCTCATCCCCTTGGATGGTAGCTACCCTAATTGTTTTCTCCTGCCTCATCGGAGCCTTACAAAAAAGAGTTCAGAAGCCATCAAGCAGGAAAAGGGCATCCAGCTGAGATCAGGCTTCTTACTGGTGAAGTGTTCTCTGTACCATGGAGTGGTGTTGTATGACCACATTTGTTATTTTATGAAAGCATTAAGGGTTGAAGGGTTTTTTTAAAGAACAGAGAGGAGAGAAAGGAACTAGGAAGGAAAAAAAATAGTTGGAGGCCACACATTTGAAATCTTAAGGAGAGATGCAAAGTTTTAAGTATATCAGTATGACATCTTGGTTCCAATTCAAAGTGCTGGTTTTGACCTTTAAAGCTCTTCATGGTATGAGGTCGGGTTATCTGAGAAACCATCTCTGCCCGATTACATCTGATTGTTTCAGAAGAATTCACTGGTTCTTGTCCCTTGGGTAATTACATTCGGCGAGTCCAAGGAGGAGAGGTGCCAACTCACAAAGCATCCCTGGCGTGCTCTTGAGTTGCCATAGGACAGGGGGATGGGGAAACTGCGTGGCAGCCACAAACAGAAGCATATTCCATGCATAACTTTCCCAAGGCTGTCTTCCAGGTTACCCGCAGCAGCTGGAGGGGTGTGATTTCTACAACCCGGGAAAGTGCTCCATTGGAGAATGTGATTTATGACACCCTGGAGGGAAGAGGGAAACAGGATCGTAATTGGGTTATAAATTACGTGGGGTCAGAGTTGGCTTCAATTGGACAACATGCTGACATGTTGCTCCTAATAAATAACTGGATTTCTTTTGAAGCTTGGCTTGAGACTCATGGTTTAATTAAGGCATCCATCAGAATCCTGACATGAGCCATCTCTGCCATGGCACTTGCCTTAGATGGAACAATCTCTTTTTTGAAGTGGGAACAGTTCCACCCTTTCTTATTTTTGAGAAGTCCCTCAAGACCTGGCTTTGTCATCAACCCTAAGGGTCTCAGGACCAGTCAGATCTTGAGGTGGCTCCATTGCTGATCAAATCTCTTGTTGGCATGTGTTTAATATAACAGCAGCTGACATGTTTATTTTTATTTTTTTTCGCTGTCACTTCTTGTGAGATGGGTGGCCATATAAATTTGCTAAGTAAAGAAGTAAATAAAGCTATTAAGCAGTGGAACAGACTCCTTGTTGGATTTACAGTAACTCTGTCAATAGTTTTAAACAAATGCTAGAGAGCCAATTGCCTGGGATGAGAATTCCTAACTTGGGCAAAGAGTTGGACTAGATCAGAGATGTCATACTCAAGGCCCTCCGCACCCCATTTTGGCCAGCAGGTGCTGCAGGAGGCATCCATCCCATTTCCATGCCTCCCTCAATCCCCGACCCGTGGAAAACTACAATGCTAATCCAGCCCACAAAGAAATCCAGTTTGACAGCCCTGAATTAGATGATCTCCATGATCCCTTCCAGTTCTGATTCTATGATATTCAGTATTTCTGACCAGAAATCTTATAAACAATCTGTTAAAAATAGTTTGTTCATGAGAACTAAGGACTGAAGGCCAAATTTGAATAAATCAATCTTTACTTAGCAAACTCTTTGCTATTGTATAAATTTCAGCCATACTAATTACCAACTTTTAAAATTACTACTGATCCAAGAAGAATTGCTCTTTCTAACAATTATTATAATAAAACAGGCAGTTAGCAGCAACAAATAAAAGTTTGAGTGGGCAATGTA